ATTTATTGCCACATCGATGCTCTTAACCAGTTTTTGACAGCCCAACTCATGTGATCAATTGCCAGAGCTTGGCTATTTTTTTTTAGCTATTGACTATATTTGTTTTTAAAACTTTGATAATTATTTTTATTTAGTTACTGATTATTCTAATATTGCGATTGTTTACTTTTATTTTTTAAAATTTGGTCACTATCTTTATTTAGCTATTGACTACTCTAGTTTTGTTATTGATTATTTTTATTTTAAAAATTCAAAAATTGCATTAAGTATTAGTTGTTTAATTATTCTTGTCTAGTCAATAGTTATATAAAAGTAGTTATCGAAAATTTTAAAATAAAAATAATCAATAATAAAACTAAAATAATTAATAGTTATATGAAAGCAGTCACTTGAAAGAAAAAAAGATAATTCTAATATTTTAAAATTTTAAAATAATATAAAAAATCTGATTTGATATTTTAAAATTCATCCATTATCCTATACTCATTTGTACGGTATTTTACCCCCCCCCCCCCCTCTTTTTTCCCCAAGAATTCATTACATGCTGTCATGCGGATCAAGAAAAGCCAAAATATCCTTCCTGTCGGCACGTGTGCCTAACGAAACGTTGTCTGCTTCTTATTGTGGGTAGCGCTGCGCAGAGTCCGCGGCTGCGTGCATGGCGTGCTCACCGACACGTCGTCCAAAGCCAGCCGGCGACATCTATCTTTTTTTTGTTTTTGGAAAAATAATTTTTAAAAAAGTTAAAAATTATAAAATTCTAAGTCAGGTTTAGTAACAATATTTGACAATATTGAATTTATAAATAACATTTTGTTCACATTCTTTATTTAACATTTAGTAATTTCTAACTTTTTTTATCATTTTTCTTTTGTTTTTTTAATTTCATGAATCTCTCCCTTTATTTTCTTTTTGGAATTTCACAGTTACTGCTGAGTTAAAAAATGGAGCGCCCAAATTTAATATTTTAAAAAAGAAATGTTGACTTTCTTTCTCTATTTATGTATTATGATAGTTCTTCAGTGCTAAATATAAAATTTATTTTGTAACATAATATACAATATAAAATAAATCTTATATTTAAAATTGAAAGAGTAATAATTTTTGAAAATATTAAATATAAATCATCTTTTTTTTAATCCAATAGTAAAGATGGGATTATGATGAGAAAAAAAAAATGAGGGATTTTGAGACGATCTCCTTCTCTCCCTCCCATTCTCGATACTTCATGGGGTTCTATTTATGGCAAAAAAGATGTTAAAAGCTTACACTCTTACTTATTGCTAAATATAAGAAAAATATATGACACTATTTTTGGTATAAAAGTTAGCTGGGAGTTTAATTTAATTATCAATATAATATATCAATCCCTTTTATTTTTCAAATTTATAATACTTTTTTTTCATTAAATATCCTTATTAATTGTAAAGGGTTTCTAGCAAGAAATAATTCAAATATACATGATTAAAAAAAGTAATTTAGAAAATTTAATGTATATTTGCTATAAACAATCAACTTAACTAATTTTTTTAAATTTTTTTAAATTAGTTATCTAACTCTTATACTCCTCCAATTCTTAATATAAGACTCATTTAACTAATTTGATTAGATTAAGGAAGTTAGGTAAGTTAGTTAATTATAAGAAATGTGATATATTTTTCCTAAAACACTATAATCATCTTTTTTAATACTCGCTCTCCCTCTTCTACTTGATTATGGTTGAGAGAATATCCATAAAGGTAATTTAGAGAAAATTGATAAATATGAGAAATAGGTCTTATATTTAGGACCAAAACCAATTTAATAATTAGGTCCTATATTAAGGACTAGAGGAGTATTAAAGAGCAAAATTAGTAATTAATTTGTTTCAATTTGATTGTCTGTCGGCCTTACTCTTCAATAATTTTAACAAACTCCTAGCATGCTTTTGTTTCATAAACGGCACTTTATCATGGTCATTAGTTTAAGTAAAAAGTAAAATTGGAAAGTCACACATTTTAATACAAATTTAAAGATGTTAACTATCCCTTCTTACCACATATTTTGTTGGAGAGAAATCGAAACAAGAGGAGGCCCCGCTAAATTCAATTTTACAAAAAACAAATAAGTGAGGCTGTAAAAATTTAATAAAGAGATTATATTAGACAGAATAGTAAAAACATAATTAAAAAATTGTAACCTTTTTGTTTTAAAAAAATCGAACTCTTTAGAATCGCAGCTCCCCTCCTCTCACCCCCCCAAAACTAAACTGATTCTAAGAATTGTAACTGAAATGTAAATAAGGGTTATCTCATTAAACTTGGTGTTTATTTTTTTTAATCAATGCTATTAATTTGAAAATTCAACTTTTTTTCAGACTAAAATACACAAAACTTACCTAAATTTTAAGTCAGTTGCATATTGTCTTCCTAATCTTAAAAATTTAAATTAAAAATCCTGATATTTCATGTTTTGACTATCATCAACTCTCTTGCCATTAAAATTATCATGTTCATGGTTTTTGTCATGTCATATTTTTTTTATTATTTACCACTTTATTTAAAGAAATAATATTTCGTATTTGACATGTAATTTTATATATTTTTTATGCTTAAAATAAATACTCAAAAATAGAAAATACTGTAAAAACCTTGAAAATATTTATTTAAATATGTATTTGTTAAATAAAAGTCTAGAAAATGCTTAAAATTACATATCAAATGCCACATATTATTATTTAAATGAAATGGTACGTAATAAAAAAATATAAAAATTGTGACACGTCAAATACTATTAACTCTTACGGAAATTTTAACAGTATGGGAGTTGATAGCTAAAACATGATATATCAAGATTGTTAATTTAAATTTTTAAAGATTAGGGAGTTGATGTGTAACTGATCCAAAATTAAGGGTGTTTTGCCTACTTTAGTCTCTTTTTATTAAAAAATCCAACTCTTTTTATAGACTTTAAACAGAAGTTTTTTCAAAACGAATGCATTATATTTACAAATCAAAGAGTACAACATCAATATCAGCATTTACTTTCAGACTCACATGTAACTTACTGGGAGCTGACGGTGAATCTTTTGTCTTTTGGTGAACATGTGTGACAAATATAATTTTTTTTTCTTTTTGTTAAAGTAACAAATATAATATTTTTTCTGATCTTTAATCCAAGAGCTAAATAATTGATTTGAAGATATTAAAAAAAATATTCACATGAATTGGAACTACTTTTTTTTGTAGGAAATCATTTCAATCAATAAAAATATTTTTACAAAATTATAAATAAAAAAATAAATGAATTAAAATATATTTATAATCAAATCCAATATCAAATTAGCTTTTAATTTATATGAAGGATCCAAGGAGGTATTATAATATAGTTCCAAGGTTAATAAATAATCTGGAAGGGAAGTAAAGGACAACATTATAAGATCTTTGAGACAAGGCAAATCTTAATTCTGAACCTGCTCCCACAGTCCCACCTAATCAATAAAAAATCTCCTAAACGGTCTAGCAGCGCATTGATTATCACTAAACTCATAATAATAATAGTAATAATAATTAGTAAAAATCTAATCATAGGGTTGGCCCAAAAAAAAAAAAAAAGAAAAGCTAATCACAGGATACGATTTTTAGTCCAAAAAAAAAAAACAAATCATCGGATGGGGGTGTCTTATTTTTCTTTTGGATAAAACGCATAGGGTTAATTTTAAGGAACTGTCTGATCATAGAATAGGATTCATGAAAAAGATCGCATCACTTCCTCCATATGAATTATTTATGGGAAGCAGTTAATTATCATTTATTATTAATTTTATACTTCATCCAACCTTAAACATAGAAGTTACATACCTCGCTAGGCTATTAAAAATTAGTTAAGCTAATTATTAATAATAAATATATGTTGATTTTTTTAAAGTTAAATGTGCGTCCAACATCTGATATTATTTTTTTAATTACATGCATCACTATAATTTTTAGGGTACTGGATGCACACACAAAAAAAGCGTTAAATGTACTATAAAAAGATCAGAGTGTTAGATGTACATGAGAAAAAAAATCGGAGTACTAAATGCACCTTTAAAAAAAATACTCTTTTAATAATTAACTCATTAGTAGAAATCCCTTTTAGTGTATAAAATAAAGGAAATTCCTTTAATACAAACAATCAATAGAAATAATTTTTTTTAAAAAGGTAAAGATGAATTCAGCATATCATGATCTTATTTTTTATATTAATTTAGTATTATGATCTTTTTTTATGATACATCTAGCATCCTAGTCTTGTTTTTCTATACATCCACTACCCTAATATTATTTTTTATTACATTTAGCATCTTAATTTTTAGAATACCAGATATATTAAAACTAAGATTAGGGTGCTAGAAAAAACTAATATTAGAGTGTTGAATTTACCACAAAAAGAATCAAGATGATAATGGATAAGCACATCCAATTTTAAAATTTTCAATCGATAATTTTAAATAAAAAAATTATTTTTAAAAAATTTAAAAATTAAGCGATTACTTTTGTTTTGGATTCTCTACCCATCATAAAAAATGTTTAAAAAACAAAAGTATAAAAAAAAATTAAATGTGGATTGTCAATATTAAATCTAAAAGATTCAAAGTTAATAGCACCAAAACTAATTTATTTTCAGTTATATATAAATGACTTCTATTTTGAAGACTTTTTAGTGATCATTTGCTTTAACTAATAAATTTTTTAGACAATTATTTTTAACAAAAAATTTATATTGTTATTTTTGCCAACATATTTTGCGGTGATTAAATATGTTGATTTCCGTTTTAAGAAAAAAATCATTTGCAAGTAGATACAAGTCATATACAAGTGTGACATCATACCGCCATGTAGGCCAAATGAAAGGATCTTATCGTCCTTCTCTGCATGCGCTCAACGTGTTCAATAAACTTTGCTTCCACCTACGACTTTTCCGCTATAAGATAGGGCTTCTTCTTCTCCGAAAATTTGCAGAACCAGTGTGTATCTTCTCTTACTTGTTCCTTTTCCTTCTGCTCTCTCCAATGGCTCCAACACCTGCGACTACCCACTTCTCAAATCCCCAGTCCCATAATCGTGATCATAGAGAAGACATTGAAGTAGAGGAAGAGCTTAGCCAGGAGCTTAAAGATCTGATTCTCTCTCTTCCCAGAGAGAAAGGCTGGAGAACTCGTTATCTCTATTTCTTCCAAGGATTCTGGTGCCAGCCTGCTGAGATTCAAGCCATAACCTTCCTTCAGAATCACTTCCAAGCCAAAGATTCCGATGTTGTTGTTGCTACAATCCCTAAATCTGGCACCACTTGGTTGAAAGGTCTGACTTTCGCCATTGTTAATCGCAAGAGCCTTTCGCCTTCTTCGAAGGACCACCCTCTGCTTCATTCAAATCCTCATCACCTTGTTCCTTTCTTTGAGTATACTGTCTATGGAAGCCGTGACCTTGAAGCTCCTGATCTCTCAAGCTTGCCTGATCCAAGGCTCTTTGGGACCCATCTACCGTTCGACGCAATGCCTAGCTCGATCAAAACCTCTGATTGTAAGATAATCTACATCTGCAGAAACCCTTTTGACACTTTTGTCTCTTCCTGGATTTTTGTGAACAAAATCAAGCCAGGGTCTGTCCCTTCATTGACTCTAGATGAGGCCTTTGATTTGTACTGTAAAGGGATTATTGGGTTTGGTCCATCTTGGGATCACATGCTGAAGTACTGGAATGAAAGCAGGGAGAGACCTAACAAGGTTTTGTTCTTGAAGTATGAGGATCTGAAGGAAAACACAACTGATCAGCTGAAGAGAATTTCAGAGTTCTTGGGCTGCCCTTTTAGCTTGGAGGAGGAAGAAAGAGGTGAGATTGATAGCATCATCAAGTTGTGCAGCTTTGAGAAGATGAAGGAATTGCAGGTAAACAAATCTGGAACTTTTGCTAGGAACTTTGAAAACAAGCATCTGTTTAGGAAGGCTGAAATTGGAGACTGGGTAAATCACTTTTCACCTTCAATGGTGGAGAGATTATCCAAAGTCATTGATGAAAAGTTTGCTGGGTCTGGTCTGTCATTTAAAGTTTCATCATAATTCTGAGTCATATATAAAGTGCTTCATCTTCTATTAGCTCATTGCAGATGCAATAAATTTCTTCTGTGTTTGAGAGTGCTCTTCTTTAGAAAATAAATTTCTTAATTTCATTATAGAATGTGTGTGTATATACATATTTATGTAACCAAATGCATGTTGTCAGTCTCAAATAATGAGCTAATCGAAGTTAGTTAATGGTGTTAATAGGTTTCTGCATCATCTGAGAGTATATAGTGAGTGTGTTTGATCTGTAAACAGTGAAAAAGTTGTGAACGGTTTGAGAAGTCGTCGGACATGTACAGAAAACTTCGAAAGGTTATGCATGTCAGATAAAAAATAATAATAATAAAAAGGAAAATAATTGTGAAAAGTTAAGGGTTATTTCAAATTTATCTTTCTCTGTTGTAATGTGTGGCCAATATAATTCAGAGGTAATGCTAAGAGCAAGAGCAAGAGGTCTGAATTGTCCCCACACAGCTGCACGTGGGTTGCAGAAAACCTTATTCATTTGCCATCAGAAAAAGGCTGGATGGGATGTGTCCCTTAAAGCTGTGATAGTGAAAGCTTTTAAGCTTAGGCCATTTCCATATCCATGTAAATAAGAACGACTTAAGAGGAAAAATCAGCTTAATTAAGATTTTTATGGGTTCATAATCACATCTATGATTTTATTATAAGTTGATTTTTTTTAAAAAAAAACATTTGGTATTATGAATTAATCTAGAATAAAATTGCTTTCGATTTACAAAAATATCAAGGTAGACTAATATTTAATATCAACAATATAAAATATTAAAGCTATAAATAAAACTTTACTGTTTATAAGTTATGATGTTCTTGAGAATCAAGGAAGACTAATTTTTTTTAGGCTAATATCATTCTTGATTCTTATAATTTAATCAAATTTTAGTTTTGATCATTATAATTTCAAATTATAGCTTTTCATCTCTATAGTTTTTATCTATTTCACTCAAAACATTAGTCCTTAGAATTTTGTAAGGGCATGGATTTGAGTTTTTTTTTTTTTGGTCAAAGGGCATGGATTTGAGTTTAACAATGTTAATGTTAACGCCTTTCAATATAACCAGCAAAACCAAAACTAATCAAGAGTATAAAAACCAGGCAACATAAGTGCGTAGTAGACTAACTGACAAAATCGATTTATAGTGGAAAAATCAATTTTCTATAATAAAATTTGATTTTCAATATTTGAAGTAATACTATATTTTTCTCACTTTTAAATATGATTTCATCAATTTGAGGATTTAATTATTTTTAGTGGGTGTAGCTTTTTTTTAGCTACGTGCATCACGCCATCGCATATCTGTATCGATGTGTAGATAATGACTTTGGTATTGGAGACTTTTGCACATGATTGGGAATATGTCATTGATTGTTAAAGAAGAGTTGTGCTTACTAAAAATAATCAAACCAAATCCTTTTGAGAAAATTTTTTTTCCAAAGGGAGACTTTTCGCCCATTTTTCATAACTTTTTTTATTGGAATTTTTTTCTGATTAAAATCTAATAGTACTCGATTATAATATGATAGTACCAAATGTAATATAATAGTATAAAACAGTGCTAAAAGAGTGGGGCAAATCAACATAAAATTTATAACAAACTGCAATATTCATAAACTATATAAATAATGAAACTTATTTTTAAAACTTCGTATAATGCATGGGATAATGACAACTTTAGTTGTAAGGGTTGTAAGATTTTCACTGAAAATTCCAAGTGCCAATACCAAATAGGAATATTCCATATTTGGATGATGACACCAGTTAGAGCCTAATAGACCTCATGCCAAGAGAGTTGCAGAATATTGATCCCAAAATAAGAGAAAGAAATGGCAACATCAATACGAAATAGTGACACTAGTGTCTACTATATTTGCCAAAATATGAACCATCCACTTTGCATCACAAAAGCATTTTATCTGATTTATGATAAGTGGTCCATGTCTTTGTTGGCTATCACAATCCATCATTTTAAAGTGGGAGAATGACCCACAGTTTTTGAAGAAATAAAAAAAATTAATCTCTCACAATTTAAACCTCTTTAATTTGCAAATAAAAATGCCAAAAAAATTTTTAGGTACTAAAAATCATGCTTATCTCATAAGATACTATTACTTGCTTTTTAATTATATTTTTTTTTTAAATTTATCCAAACACTCTATTTTGACGAATTATTAGCTTCCTCCAATCTTTATTAGAAGCTTCAATTAGCTAATTTGTGTTTAACAAAAAAATATTAAAAGCAATTGAGAGGTAAGAAATATGGTTGATAAAATAGATCACACCCCTTATAAAATTTAAAGCTTAGAAATAGGACTGAAGGGAGTATACTTTTATTTTACTCAATGTTAATCCAAATACACCGGTAGGTTGAAGCATATGGATGCTGCTTATGAAAAACATGGTTGATGGTTTCAATTGATTGTAATAAAAATAATATGGGTATTTGGTTGAATATAATATCTCAAGTGATTCAATCAAATATATATATAGGTGTTTGAATGAACATTGTAACATGTGTAATGAAAGATGTTCTTATAGGGAAAATGAGAGAATTATCAAGAAGTCCTAAGAAAAAAATTTAATTACTATAAAGTTTCAATGATAAGTGACTAGTCTGAACATGTTGTTATTTCCTACTTTAGAACTTATCATTACTTGCTCTTTATTTGTTGATAAATTTTAGGGTAATTAAATCCTTTTTTAAGACTTAATTGTGATTTCCTCAAAACAAAAAAAAAGCATTTAAGATGACAATAGAAGCGGGTTCCCAGTCAAGCAACCCATTTGTATCCACAAGCAGTTTATGTGATTAATGGTATTTGGGACACCTTCTTGCTTGTGGCTCCCACAGGCTCTTGTCTTGTCTCGCTGCATTAGTGTACCAAACAAGAAAAGAAGAATTACTTTGAAATATCAAGGAAAAATATTATAATTACTAAAAAAAATTCTAATAATACATTTGAGCAGTCTGAATCTGTTGTCATTTTTTATATTAAAATTTGTTATTGAAAGTTGTTCTATAAAAATTTTTAGTGATTATATTCTTTCTTAAAAACTTATGGTAATTCTCTTTAAAAGAAAAAGAAAAAGAAAGTCCTTTAACTCCTGCAGCTCTCTTGTTTTCTTGCTCCATCCCCATGTCAATCTCTCCCGCGACACCATGGCATTAAAGAGGTATTTGAGTAAAAATTAAATTATGGTTTTAAAAGGGATTTTATCGCATATGAAATATGTATGTGTGAAAAGTTTTGTCTCAATCTGTAAAAAAACACTTTTTAAAAAATGTTTTTAAGTGAACCAAACACTCTCTAAGTTACATTCAATTCACATGTTTGATTAAGAATTTTGGATATATGAACTGAATTAGATTCCATATTTTCTATTCTCCTACTGAGTCTGAAAAAAAGTTGTTTTCAGTTAAAAAATTAGATGAAGATGCATCCAGTATTTTGAAAAACAAGAAGTTAGGATCAATATTTGATTTTCTTTATAAAAGAAATAAAAATTAAATCAACACAAGTAAGATTTACATTTCTCAAAAATCATATGTTTATAATGCTGAAAAATTAGGATAACGATATGCGCAAGTTGTTTTCAGATATATGATGAAAAATGTGAAGACATTCTCATCATCTTCACCTTTTTTTATTATACATCTCAATATCATTGAATAGAAATGATTTTAACGTCTTAGTCTAGTGTTTTTTTTTGGAGGTGGTTAATGGTTTTGGTAAGAACCATTTTGCAAAAGTTCCTTTCTTTGTTTTTTTTTTTTTAAATACTCCTCCGGTTTTTAATATAAGACCGATTTAATTAATTTGATTAGATTAAAAAAGTTAGGTAAGTTAGTTAATTATAATAAATATGACATGTTTTTCCTAAAACACTATAATAATCTTTCTTAATATCCTCTCTCCCTCACTTACTTGATTATAGTTGAGAGAGTATCCATAGAGGTAATTTAAAAAAAAATGATAAATATGAAAAATAAGTCTTATATTTAAGACTAAAATTAACTTAACAATTAGATCTTATATCAACGACTGGAGAAGTAACACGTATGAGCTGTTAGTTTTGTCTGGGTCATTTTTCTTATTATTTATTGTTTTTTTCCCCAGAAACCTCGGAGAGTACTAAGCCATTAATGAAAGAAAATTAGAAACTAAACCCTAAGAAAGCCCTTCTTGAATCTTGATGATAGTGACCACGATGATGTTGTAGATGATATTACAAATGTTTAATCGAGATTGTGTGATTTCCTAATAAAATATTATAAATTATCCTTATTTGAATGTTTGATGACTAACTTTTTTTATGAATTAAGTTTCTTTTTATTTGAATTTTAAAGAGTTGTTTGATTTATGTTGTGTATGTATATATCAATAATTATCGTTTGGAAAAAGAGTTGTTCATAATTCTCAACTCTAACTACAGTTTATTTAAAATCATAATCCAATCCAAAAAAATGGAAGAAATTCACAATTACTTTTATTAAATATCAAGAGTAGACCTGCATCAGCACACAGATCGACATTGTTTTTTGGTCGTTTACTAACACGATGTTATTTTTTAGATATATTTAGCATCCAAATCTTTTCATTCTAGTGTTGAATAGACTATAAATAAGATCAGAATATTAGATTCATTTAAAAAATAAAATCAAGATACTGAATGTTATTTTAATTAAATTTGAACACTTCAAATTAATGAGTGTGCACTAATGAGCAGATATGGGCTTATTTAAGAAAATTAATGTGTGCGCACTAATGAGCAGATATGGGCTTATTTAAGACTTTGGGCTTAGCAAAAATATGCATAACTAGGCTTGAAAAATTAACGCAGAAATTGAATGGAGTTGTTCAGAACATTTGAGGCCGAAATATCACTCACGGAGAAGAGCTTGATCCATTACAAAGGAATAAATTTCTAATATTTTTTAAATAAGATTACATGTTTAAATTTTATGAATAAATTTTTATTCCGAAAATCATTCTCATGCATATGCCAAGGGTAAATGTACAAATGTATGCCTGATCTTATTTATGTGATGCATCCAGTATCTTGATATTTTTAATGGTTAAATTTTAGCCCTAATTTTTTGTGTGCAATTTTACACTAGTGTAAAATTTATGGATCTATAATTTTGGTAATGCTCAAATTTAAGTTACTGATTTCGTCCTTTAAAAAAACATTAGTCAAACGTGAGAATCTTTCTTTTTTTCCCCTCCATCAAGTCGGAAAAACTGGCCTAAATTAAATTAATGTAATTATCTTTGTAAAGAAAATAAGATTAAGGTGCACCCAACATCTTGAACTATTTTTTCAGGTGCGTCTTAGTACGTCCAGTGTCCTAAACTAGTTAAAATGGTGCACCCATATCCCAAGTTTAGAAGTGGGAATACAGGTCGGCCTTGCAGAACTGGCGGGTTTAAAAGGGTTGGCCCTACAGGGTTCAAATTTAAAAAATATTCTAATTTGCTAGGCTCAGCCCTTAAGCTAACGGACTTGGAACTGACCTGCGAGCTTTCAGCCCGTTTAAGAAAAAATACTATTTTTTATATTTCTCACATTTTTATCAAAAAAATAAAAATAAACTAATGAAATTATTAATATAAGACATAAATATGAATAAAATTAAGTCACAAATATAAAATATCATCATATATAAATATCCATCAACATCCAAGAACATCCACAACATTCACTAACAAGATAACAACATCCAAAAATTTCATCCATAGTGTAAATGTGTAATAAAACAAATATTATCATTAATATTTTGAAACTTCATACTATAATCAATTACTCTTCTTCATAAGTATACTTTTATTTCGTAACAAAATATCAAGTTTTTCTTCTTTATAGAAATTTTACTTTTAAATTTTGCAGTCTAACAATTATTTTACTTTAGTTTTAGAAACATTGTTGTTGAAACTTATAAATTTCTAATTCAAATTATAGAATCACAAGTTATATAAGTATAAAAATATTCTCTTGTCAAATATGTATAGTTTAAAAATATCAATACATATAATATAAATCAAATCATTATTAAAGTCCAAATTAACCCATTTTTTAAAAATTTAATTGGACAAATTATTAGCTAAAACTAAATAAATCAAACAATTCTGTGAAATTTAATTTTAAAATGATAATAATAAATAAATATTTGAAATATCATTAATAATGTAAAAAATTAATAATATTAGAATTACACAATAAGCTTTTCAAAAAAAAAAACAAGAAAAATTATAAAAGGGCATAAACGGGCTGGTATTTTTAAGATCTCGACCCTACAGGACCAGCCTTGTAGGGCTTGTTTTTCATTTCAGGAAAATTTTTCAAGCCTAGCTCTCATAATTCTCGAGCCTAAACAGGCCGGTCCGACGGGCTTGGCCCGTTTTCCAGGTTTTATCCAAGTTAATAGAAATGTTATGTTCAACTGTTAACTTCATGACTCGACTCAAAGTTGACCCCAGATATCCAACATGGCAGACACATAGGCATCTGAAGTGTATCTTCTCCACTGAGTGCTATTGACACGGTGACTTTTGCTCTGATTGCAGCCACCAATACGCTCTCCACGCGCCTCTATAAGTTCTGCTCCTCTGCCCTCCTTCTTTGTTCAAAAGAGGCGACACGAACCTTTGGAAAGCACAATCAAAATGGCAACTTTATTGTGTATCGAGATCCTAAAAACTTCACAAATCGTGGATCGAGTCAGATCAGCGGAGGCAACCCGTTCAAAAACAACTCCCAGAATCAGTTCCTCATGTCGAGTTAGAATGATTTCCGATGATATAGCTGAGGCTCCACTGATCACAAAGACAACTTCCGCAGCTACGCCTCACAAAGTGAGCATGTGGAACAGGACATCCACACCTACAGAACCAGAGCCATTGGCGGAGCTTGCGAGTTCAAGCAGTACACTGATTCAGTCAACAAGTTACACCTCCGGTTCACCTCGTACTCCAATGCCACTAAAGCAAGGACCCAATCGTTCTCCAATTATTTCGATGAGTCGAAGTCTAGGGACCAGACCGTCACCAGTTATGCCAAGAATGGAGCAGAGCTCTCAACGAGTTCAACAGCTACCAGATGCATTCCAACATCATCGAGTCTAACTTCACAAATTACGGCGAGACTAGGAATGGTGGGACTGATAAATTCAACAACTATGGAAACAATATGAACTTCCCAAATAATAACTTCAAAAACTACGGAGATGGAGGTAACAAACCCACCCAAAGCTTTATTAACTATAGAAATGACTCCAATGTGAGCATAGATGGCTTCATATCCTATGCCAAGAACTCTAATGGGGCAATAGTTGATTTCATGAATTAGGGGAATGAAAGCAACATCGGCCAATATACGCTCACTAAGTACGGTAAAGGGGCAATGCATCCCAAGATTGGATTCAAAGGCCGTATTGTTTGGAAAGACACCCATGAGTTCAAAGAATATGCGAAAGAGGGCATCTCATTGGCAGAATACAACAATGATAGCTCTACTAACAGCACTTTCATGGCTTCCAAAGCTGAAGTTGGCACTGGTAGTGGCATGTTTGCAAATTCGTGGGTCGAACCAAGGAAAATTGGATAAATTAAAAATTATTTTAGGATACTGGACACACTTAAAAATATAGTTTGGGGTGCTGGGCATCTTAATCCAAGAAAATATTTCGTCACCTTTTAATCTTATGGGCGTTCATTGACGGTTGACCACAAATTTAGATGCCTTTAAATCAAAATCGGAGCGTCTATAGGAGCCGTTTCCCATCCAACGGTCCGGATCGCGCTCCTTCTTGTCATATGCCAACGTCTACTTCCACACTAACGGTCATATAATCCGAAAATACAAAAAACAATTTACTCTTCAAAATCCCGCTTGATTCTTCTTCTTCTTCATTCCCAGAATCTTTCAAGAATCGAGACCTCATAATCCCATTTTCTCCGTAGAATCACAAAGCTATATGAGTTTTCTGCAATTCTCAGACTCCATGAACGCCTCGGAGCTTCAGGTGTGGGACAATGCCGCCTTCGACAGTGACGAAGTACACATGAAAGCTTCTTGGTCGTCGAGTCTTGATCCTGTGTTCGAAAACCCTTCCGAATCACTGGATTCTGATCGCAGCAAGGAAAATTTGAGCCCTGTAATGGTGAATTCATCTGTTTCTGTGAAATCTTCCGCTGCCATTAAGCCCCTTCATTCAAACGGTGTTCTCGGAAACTCACTGAGAAAACCCTCGAAGGTTTTGGCCAAGAAGAAGACGTGCGAACAAGACGATGAGCGAAAGATCGATGCTGAGATTGAAGAAATCGAGAACGAGATTAAACGCTTGTCGTCTAGATTGGAAGCGCTTCGACTTGAAAAGGCTGAACGAATCGCAAAAACGACGGTTGAAAAGCGAGGGAGAGTTGTGCCTGCCAAATTCATGGAAGCAAAACAGAGTGTGAAGACGATCGAAGAGACTCCCTTATCGTCGAGTGTGAAGTCGAAGGTTAATCGGAGGGGTGCGAGTTTAGGGCCGTCGGAGATTTTTGCCGAAGCGAAATTCCGGCCGCCAGGGAAGGTGGAAATAACCCCAGGTCCAGCGACACCAAGTGTGAAGAAGATTGAAGAGCCTTCCCTATCGTCAAATGTGAAGTCGAAGTTTAATCGGAGGGGCATGAGTTTGGGGCCGTCGGAGATCTTCGCCACAGCAAGATTCCGACCGCCGGGAAAGATGGAAACGACCCCTGGTACGGCGAGACAAAATCGACGGAAATCGTGCTTGTTGCAACTTCAAGATATCGAGGAATCAAAATCAGCGATAAGCGAAAGAGGGAAAAGTGTGACTGTTAGTCCGAAAACACGAAAAAACGCTAGTAAATTTGAATCTCAAAAGCAACCAGCGGCTACAACAGGGGGATGGAAAAAGCCGGTGAAGAAAGAATCTTCATTGATTCAGCCAAGAAAACTCTTCAAAGATGGCGAAAAGGAAAAATCAGTATCCACCAAGAAGCCATTGAAGCCTGGACGAGTAGTCGCAAGCAGGTAATGAAGGAAATAAATTACTGTCAAATAGTCAGATTACTGATCATAATTCACTCATAAAACATCTGCAAACATGAACAACGTTGGAATAATTAATCTTGAATTGATTTATGTGCCTCAAAAACTTGAATTGAATTGTGTTAAGAGTATGATTGAAGCATCAAACTGTTGAGACCCTTGCTGTTCTAACAGGTACAACATGGTTTCTAGTAATCAATGTGGGGCGGCCATTGAAGCAGCTCGGAAGAGATCGTTGCCGGAGAACGAGAAGGAAGAAGGTGGGAAGAAGGCACGAGGGACTGAGGGAGTTACAGAGGGAGGGAGGACGAAGAAGAGGTGGGAGATTCCACCTGAGATCGTGCTTCACAAGGGGAAGGAGGAGCAAGAAGAAGAAGAGGTGAAAAAGGAGACGACATTGTTGATGACGGATTTACTTCCAAAGATCAAAACAACTCGATGTGTTGATGAGAGCCCAAGAGGGTCAGGACCTGCAAAAAGAGTAGCCGAATTGAAGGGGAAGAAAAAATCTTACTTTTGCCCAGATAATGAAGGCGAAGATGAAGAGGAAGAAGAAGAAGGGGTTGCTAGATCTGCTGCTTGTGGTGAAGCTCTGAGTTTTGCAGATCAAGAAAGTGATAATAATGATGAAGCTGAGGATGAAACATAAAGATGGTTTCTTGCTAGAGAACCTGAAACTTTGTGCCTATATGGTGTTGGTGGTTGGTCTGTTCTCTGTTGTGGAGAAATAACGTAACAAACATTTTCTCTGATGTTTGTTCTTTTTCCAAGTGGTCAAATGCTATGGCAAGTGTTGTATGGGTGGAGGCATATGGCTATATTACATATTATTGTGGCTAATTTGATTGAAAAATTTTAAAGAGCATTAAATAAAGTCTTGTGTAAAATATTCCTGATAACTGTGTGGTATTGAGCTTTTTGGTTTCTTTTTGGCATTAACTTTTGCATCCCTTCTGTCAGCTACACACCTTTGTGTTTCTTCTTTAAAATCTAGGTGTAAAGTAAATACACTTTCAATTCAGTTTTTATTCGATCCTTTTTTGGCAGTCACTTTTTATTAGTTTAATTATCGTGAAAATTATGAATTTTTAGGTAGCGACAAGACCAAACTCACAATCTCTCACTTAAAAAAAAAGTCTCATGTCACTAAATGTATTATATATTCTGATTTTTTTTTTTGCCAGAGTATTATATATTCTGACTTTTATGAAAGCAGAAAATAAAATATCATTCAAAATTTTAATTTTAATCTTGATATCACTATTATATACATTGATTTCTACATTAAAAAAAAACTCCACTTAGTTCGGGAAACAAAACATCATTTGTTTTTCTATTTTTTGTCGTCAACTCTTTGTTTTTCAAATACATAAGGGTGTCTCAAATTCAGCACAAGTATGTTGTTTTCTTAAAATTTCAAAATCTTGCATATTTTTATTAAATTTTTAAGTAGAAGAAAAATTATTTAGGAGATAAATTTACTATATTTAAAATTCAATTTTATAATACTACCTCTGGTCCTAATTATAAGATCCAGTTGACTAATTTGAAGAGATTAAGAAAAGAAGTTAAGTTAGTTATTTGTAATAAATAGTTGTTGTCTTTCCTAGATTATCCTTACTAATCAACTGTATTGGCTAGAACTAAAATTATTAGAAGAACTATCTTAGAAAAAAATACACAAATATAAAAAATAAAGTGAATCAGGGTCTTATATTTAAAATCAAAATAAAAATTAAATAGGATTTTATATTAAGGACAAGAGATAGTATCGTATTTGATACTGATAATTAAAATGCCTGTAAATTTGGTTTGGAGCTGGCCCTTGTGTTATTAGAGGCCTAGCGGCCTAACATAATATGAGGGCCCATATTACTTTATCGGGTCGGGTCAGTCGAAGAAAGATCCATAGACCCTCATGCGGAAGGATAATATTTACGCATACAATATTCAAGAAACCCTAGTTCGCAGAGCCGTCTTCTTCTCCTCCCACTCCTCAAGCGGCTATCAGCTCCCGGGTTTCTCTCTCGCTCTCCCTCTCTCTGCTTCAACCATGGCTACTGCTAGAACTGTCAAGGACGTCTCGCCTCATGAGTTCGTGAAGGCTTATTCTGCTCATCTCAAGCGATCTGGCAAGGTATCTTCTTCCCTCCTTTGTTTCTTTGGGAAAGCACTGGAATATTAGCTGGGGATGGGTTCTTCATCTTCCTTGTGTTCAGATGACAATGGATTGATTGGCAATGTGCCAAATCCTTCCTTGCTTTTCCATGCTAAGTAGAATGCCTTTCAAAACTTAGTATTACATGCTTTGTGTTTCCTATGTAGAATATTGTGGTCTTTTCTATTTTCTCTTTTTTCACAAACCTGGCTTGATTTTCTTTTTCGAAATACCATGGCTTCTTGTGGTAATTCATTCGGTGGAGCTTGCTTATGTTTGATCTTAGGATTTTCTTCGTGGATGATTGTGTTTGTGGGAAGTTATTTGCAATATTGAGGTGAATACCAATGCCAGCTGATGAGTATTCCCTGTGTTGTACTATACTAGTAGCAACTTATTTGTTTCCTCTTTAATATATATAATTTTGTGCTGGTATTTTAGCTGGAGCTGACATCATGGTCAAAATTTAGTGGTTTTAGTGGTATAATTTGTCATTTGTCAATTAGATTGAGACTCTTCGAGCATTAATTTTCTGTTATATAATTTATCTGGTGCAGCTTTTATTAGAGCTGAATTTTTCAGGGTTGACTGTTTTTAGTTATTTACGATTATTTAATTCTGAACAGATGGAGCTTCCCGAGTGGACAGATATTGTGAAGACTGCAAGATTCAAGGAGCTGGCTCCATATGATCCTGATTGGTACTATGTCAGGGCTGGTGAGTTTAATCTCTCAGATTTTGTTCGTTCGTTTGCTTACTGATGCAAGTTTTTGTCCTCATATGTGTAGTCACAATGTTCCCGAAAATAACAAAAAGGTTGAGTAGTCACAATGACTTCTGGAAAAATTTTCTCCTGCATTTTGCTGGAAGAGGCCTGATAAGTTTTGGAACTTATCTTAATCTTTGGTTGCAGCCTCCATGGCTAGGAAGATCTACTTGAGAGGGGGTCTTGGTGTTGGTTCTTTCCAGCGGATCTATGGTGGGAGCCAGAGGAATGGTAGCCGTCCCCCTCATTTCTGCAAGAGCAGTGGTGCTATTGCTCGTCACATTCTTCAGCAGTTGCAGAGCATGAACATCATTGAAATCGATGCCAAGGGGTAATTACTCTTTTTTTCTTGTCAATTTGCAGGAGTTTAAATGCTTTTCATGAACATTAAGGATATTACCTATTACTGGTCTCCTATTGTTGACCCTTGAATGGCTATTTTGTTCTCTTCAATGCCCCAGCATTTGTCGAATATCAGCCGGTAACTGTTTTAGAAACATGCTGCTGTTTTACCTACGTGGTTATTGATCATTGACTGTTTTATCATTCTAATGGTCTAAGATTCATTTGAACATTGATCTGAAATGTCTCGAACTTGATTTCTCAGTGGCAGGAAAATCACTTCAAATGGTCAGAGGGATCTTGACCAAGTGGCTGGAAGGATTGTGGTGGCCCCTTGATCTGTGAATTGTTGAGGACTATCCTAGCAAAATACATTTAGGGTTTGAGTTTTTCCTCGGAGATAGATGTGTTTAAATGTGATGGGCAAATTTTGGCTTTAGTTATTGAATGTTTCTTAAAAAGGACATACTTCATGCTATGTTGTTGAGTCCGTTATATGATACTATTGCTTTTCTCTTTTTTAAATTTATTTTTGAACCGAGGTGTCACCATTTTCGTATTATTATTTCAATGTCATAAGCACGAGATGGAAAGTCATGAATTCGTAGTGAACATGTTGCATCGGTGTACAAGGGTGCACCTGGAAGTGGTGCGAAGGAGGCGGTAGAGGAAATTGAATGAGAAATGAAATAGGAGATAGAATGCGAGTGGTTTGGATTGTTTATGGAAACCTTCTTCAATTAATTTCCAAGCAATTAAAAAACTTGTTCGATTAAAAACATGCTCCCAATGAGGTATTTTAATATATTAATGCACAAATTGGTAACAAACTGTTCAAAAGCCTTAAGGAACGTTTGAGTGAAAATAGTTACGATACCAATTTGAAAATAACATAATTTTCAAACAATAAGGATGCTGAAAGATTGCAGGACAGGTTTTTTCTGCTCCTAAATCCTAATATGCCTTTTGGAACAAGTTGTGTCGTCAGGCATATGAGAGAGAAGCAACAAATTATAGGCCAACATGATTTGACTTGGACGAAGGAGCATTGAGCCGTCCCTGGTAATTTTCTCGGATGTTAAGTTGCTAGTTAGCACAAACAAACAGAATAGTATTAAACGATCAAATGTTACAAATGAGAAGTAAATAAATAAATAAAGGGAGGTGAAATGTAATTAATGCTTTTTGACAGAGAAGTGTTGCGAACTCATGAAAGTTTTAAGTGACAATTGTGTAGCTTTTCTACATTTGACGCATGCTTACCAATCCGTCACGTTTGCATCTTCATCCATCTTCGTCCCACTGCGTCATGTCTCACTTTCTTTGTATTGGTGAATTTCATGCACTCATGGGGTATGTCTATGTTGTCATTTCGAGGGGCTGAAGCTTCATTTCTTTAGCTTGCGCACCTTTTGTTTTTAAATCGTTCTTGGACCCCAGTTCACACTTATCCAAAGAATTACCTCCTCAGTGTGACATGGTCGAATTGAAATGGCCCTAATCCACAGTCAGCCAATCCATTTTCCTTCCCCCCCCCCCCCCCCCCACCCCCAACCCCAAAGGGCTTAAATCACTCTCTTTCCTCCTCCCCAGGATGCTCAAACACTGAGCATTCTATCACAGTTTACTTTTCTGAGCATTTGCACTTCCAAGCTCTCTTGCAATCCCACTTTCTGGCGAGCCTTTTCTCTCATTTCCTCAACTGCTTGCCTGTTCTAATCATGGATTGAAAACCATGTAGTAAGTTCACATTGTTAGGCTTAGTTTTCAGTTGCTTAAAACTTCCATGTTTTTTTGGTTGTAACACGCTTCTGGTGATAGTTTCTCAAACTATTGCTAACCTGTTTTAGTATTGGATGAAATCAATATCAACGTATATACTAAAAAAAGCAGGAAGCCAAATGATTTTGCTTATGAATATTTGTCATTTGCAGCTCTCTTCCATTATTTAATTTTTGCACTATTTATAGTTTTTTTAAAACTTTTTTGCCACTAGTAAGTCTTGTGGGGTATTATATTTTTCTCACTTGAATTCCATGAAGATTATATGAAAATTGCAAATTTTTCTGCAAAACAGATAACCTAGGAAAGAATACAACCATAGAACGTGAGTGGAATGAGTATATATCACTCATTATAATTCTAAAATGACAGAAAATACTCATTGACTCGAAGGAAAACCTGTTGAGTTGATCGAATACATTTTTTAGACTTGTTCCTCAATTAACTTACTCAATTCAATTCAAACAAATTGAGACAAATCCGGTTAACAAATGATATTAAAATTATCATTCTAAATATGAAGCATAAAGTATATGAATTTCGTTTAAAATGAAGTTACACCTATTAAATAGTAAATGGTTCATACTGAAACTTTATTTGGAGATGATAGATAATGTTCTGAGAAAACAGATACAATTGCAATCATTAACTATATCATTCTTCACTCGTATGCCAAAAATAAATATCTACCTTCAGCATTTAAACTTCCAGCAGATCAATTTATATGATATATAAAAATAATGTATCCTACCCTGAACATAAAACACCACCAATAGGATGAATTTCAGCTTGACCAAGCCATCAAAATACAGAAAACTTATTTTCCGAAGAAATCTTACATTTTCAAAAAATTGAAAAATTCCCCCCAACATAATCTAATTGTTGGCACCACCCTTCCAACACATGCCAAGTTGGCTAAAAAGAAGGACGAGAGGTATAGAATAAAAGAGCTCCCATCTTTGTAATGGGGTTCCTTGGGCCTTTTGGGTCTGACCAAGCACACCAAAATAAAAAATGGCTAGCAGGGTGGCCCGGCCCAGAAGAAAGAGAATTTTACCATTTTGCACCCAAAATTGCTTCGCTTTAACAGGGCCACAGGTCACCCCAGATAGATCTTTTGGCTTGATGATGCAATGTAGGATTTTTGCTCTGTGTAACAACAATACGATCAAAAGAACCCTCTGATGCATCCCTGTTGGTGGATCTACAAACATTCATAGCTACCTGTCTACCCCTCCTAACAGGCATAAAAAACTATTCTTCCCCAGCCACCACCCAGATCAGCAGCACCAACCCCATCTTCCTCTCCCTCCCCATCCTCTTCATTGTCATCAGCACCCTCTGTTTCGACAACGTCAGAATCATAAGCAACCAAATCCTTTTCTTCATAAGCAGAATCACCAGGTTCTTGTAACTTCAACAAGTCCTCTGACAAGGAAAAAGGAAACAGATAAAAATACGAAACAAAAAAGTTTGTTTTTGAGACACTTCCCCAAAGACTGGGCAAAGTAAAAGAATCAGAATGAGCCAACCAAACTCAACCCAGCCCAATTTGGTTCGCCATCTTGGATGGTATGTAAAAGGTATAAAAAACTAATACGTCATTAACTGACAAGGTAAATAGGTTAATTAACTATACCAGCTTACTATTCATAATTTTAGTAACTTTTCAACAAGGGGGAAAAAATAAATTTCTGTCCATAGGACTAGCCTTGCCCACACTGTTCGGCCATCATTTTAATAGGTCAGAGTTAGAAATGGTTCAATCTAACTTTGTAATCTAGATTAGTGGCGCGCCAAACCCAATCATTAACAAAAAGCATGTATGTACAAGTTTAAGGAATACCATAGTCAATTTCAAGATCCTCCGGATTTCTTTTGGCCTGCTGCTCCTTTAAGGTCTCAAATCGCATGCCATCAAGAGGCCAAGGTTCCCTGGTCCAATCGATGAGCCAAAGGATCACAAATTTATTCTACAGCATGAATAAATGAAATAAAGTCCTACAAGACATGGCTCCCAATCATATTGCTCAATGGCCAAAAAGACAATAAAAAACATTTATTGGCTTAAGAATAAAAGTATAACCATAAAAACAGAGGAAAATAATGCATTAACTAGGAAAAAGAAGAATATCCATGTTTTTGGTGCAGAGGTGAGATAAATCACCACATCTCAAAGTTACGTGAGAGAGAACTCTTAAATCTGTTTTGTTATTTTATTTATATATTACTGATCTACAAGCTGAAAAGATTATTTAAAGCACTCACATTGGTCTTTGCCCTCGTCTGAAAGCAACATAAGAAAACTTCTCATCTTCAAATCCTCGCAAGGGCTCACCTTTGGAACGCTATAAAGTTATATAGTTGTTAGAATAAAAGTGTATTTCTCATTATGATTGTAATTTTTAACAGGAAAAGAGGGAAATAAGAATGCATCAGCCATGAGACTCCTTCTGACTAAACAAGTTGAAGATTTAAAGAAAACCTTGTATGCACGCTGTGAAGATGTCCTCTCCAAGCGTTGAACAAAATGACAGTATTTTCCAGTTTTTACCAGAGGACAAGGGCCATCATGAGGACACTGCTCAATGAAAACTTATCAGACAAGAAGACAGTGATGAAAAAGAGGAGGGGGCAGGGAAGTAGACAGAAAGTGAATACCACTTCGGTCCTCATTATATAAGTCATCTGCTACTCATTCTCACATAGCAAGGAATGACATTTAAGTCATTGAATAAGTCTTAAATTGATGAAGTTCTCCAAATTTTGTCCTTATTAATTCCCCCTCTCTACATTAATAGATCATCCTCACCTCTCTCTCGTCTTTCTCTCTTTCCAATAGAAATTAATAAGGGTAAAATTTGAACATGGTCATTAATAACACTCAAAAGTGATTTGTATTTAGGACCAAACTTTTCTCTTACAAGTAACTTATAATAAGGACCGGAGTGGTATGGTGAACTGCAATGTGGAAAACAGAAGTCAAGTCAAAA